AGCATATAAAAAATGTACAAACATTCCAGGTCACATTGCAGGAAAAATAACAACATTCACAAGTTTACAATACACGGAAACGGCAATTCAGTATAAAAGATTAAAGATGAATTTTAAATCGGCTTACAAAGAGGAACGTTTACAAAATTTATGTTTTTAAAATTGAGCAGTTTTCCCAAACAGGGTTATATCTGTCATTCCAGATAGTGTAACTGGAAATTAGTGCTATTTCTGCTATTTTTCGTTTCGTCAATTGTACATTCCTTGTTTGGGGTTTAGTCCCCTACTTCACACTTCAAGGCAGATTAATTTACATTTCATACCTCTTCTATTTATATCATCTACAAAGTGTTTATATTTTTCCGTTTTTCGCTTATGAGCTTTGTCAGTGTTCATTTCAAAGGGAACAGTTAATTCTATGAGTTCAATTTCGTTGCCATTTACTATTACAATATCTGGCTTACAGCTAGTTATAATTATATTTGGGGGTATGGTTCCCCCCGCTATTGTGTGGCCCGAAACGTCAGAGTATAATAAGTCAACCTTTCGATTGTCTAGAATATATTTAATTAATGAAAACATGATTGAGTCATGCCTCCATGTAAATCTTCCCTGAGCTAGTGAAACAGGGCATCCATTTAAAACGTGCTTGATGGTCTCCTTGTTGTGACACAACTTACAAAGATCGGTTGTTCGTTTACCCCAAGTGTGGATATTTTTCACCAAAATAATTATACATAATAAATGTAGGCCTATTCTAATGTATGTAAGATGAGTAGGATTTCCTCCTGTTATGCTACAGAAGTGATTATTAATTGTAATATCAACTTCTTGTTTCATCTAACGATAACGTATTGCTAGATAAGTGATATAATTTATGGCTGTGCTTGCAATCAGAGTTCATATTAATATGACACACATTAGGTTGGTTTGTTTATTCTGAAGTAACAAGTTCAAATTTCAAAGATCGCATATTTTTTTAATATTAAATTTTTATAAACTATAATAATGTTTCTGAATCTGATTGGCTTCCATTGATTCCTCAATATATAATGCTACATAATGATGTTTCCGATTCCTATTGTTAATTCCTTTATATGCAGTTGAAAGACCTTGTTTTTAATTCTACTGTATTCTTATAACTTGGATTTGTTTGTTTGTCTATATTCTGTACTATATTTGAACAGTGTAGTTGTGTATTACTGTTATGATTTAACAGTAGTATCATTTTAATATAAATTTGTAAGTGTACTTTTATAATTTTTAACTACTAAAAAAATTCTCTAATTAATACTTGGTAGCTTTTGTCTGGGATCTATGAGCTCTCTCAACTAAACACGTTTTCTTTTCTGGAAACTGAAGATTTCTGTATGGTTGGTTAACCTAATTTATGGATAATTTTACATTAATAACGGTCTTGCTCCACATACGGAACATTAAGTAGATATCCTAACCATACAGGTAGTATACGTCAGTAGGGTCAGCTTATGACCTAGATACGACTAACAAGTGACCTCTTCGAAAAGTAATCTGAAATTTGTATCCAAATCATGCAAAACCCACAATCTTTCAAATATGTTTTGTATGATAAGATTCTAGGTCATCCCTCACCATTCCGCCTTGTACTGCTGTTTATGCTAATTATTACTTTCAATTAAAATATTACCATCCTAATTGCTATACACTACAGTTTCTGTTGTTAAAACAAGTTGATACTTTGTTATACTGTTTGTTATTCTATTTTAATCTGAACTCTAGTGACTTCCTTGAATCCAAATTTAAGCAAATAAAGCAAAATAATAATAATAATTTAAGCATTATTAATTTTAGTTTTTCAATTTTTTGGCCCAACATAGATAGTGGATCTTTAAATGGGATTCAAGAGTAAAGAACAAGACCTCTAATTGTTGAGTACTTGCAATTAGGACCAATAAAAATGTTAATATTTTATCACCCTATCTACACTGTAGGCTGGAAAAGTGATGAGGGAGGAGGCTTTTTATTTATATTGTTGTTTTTTTTAAAGCAAAATCACCCTTGGGTTGTTTTCTGGTGCATTGATATTCAACAAAGTAAAATACATAGTGAGATTATACAAATAATACCTACCAACTAGGCTATTTACTATACAACTGAGATTGATAAACTAATAATTGTTTTAAGTTGGGCCTTAGATGTAAAGTAAATAACACAATAAGCCTATGTAAAAAAATGAAATGTTTGTCAAAAAATATCACACTGAATACTCAGAAAATCATTTTATCTTTAACTTAAAAGCTAATAATTTAGCTTACTGTACTTTAACAATCCATTTTAACTATATTTATTAAAATTTTCTTTAGCATATCAGATTTATCTATTTAATGTAGAGGTATTTGTAGGAACATTGCCTAATGTTATATTTTAGTAATAAAATTATTTTTTTTATTCTAGCACTAGGTCAACTTTATTTGACGGAATATTTCCATGCTCATCTGTCCTAATGCAAGTTTATTATTAGATTGAAATTATTATTATTTCATTTCAGTAGAAGTACTGTACAATAAAGTAATAGAAAGTACTGTATACTACTTGGAAGAGAAAAAAAAAGAAACTAAGGAATTACTGCCATTGCCAATTATTTCAGAATATAATATAGGCCGCCATATTACATCCAAAAATGCATCATCAGCAATGTACATGTTACATTTAAGCTATGTTAAAATACAGTATGTTTCAGTTAAGCTCATCTTTACTACTAATACCCTATAAGGTCACTTAAGATGATTTCATCCATGTTTTCCGGGGTCTTCCTATTTCTTCTAAGCTCTGCTTTCTATTTCTATGATACTACATCCATTTACCCAGTTACATTACCCTACGCCATCCTTTCATTATGTGAAAAACCAAAGTAATTTACTGTACCTATCTGCATACATCTCCTGATGCTACAGTTACCTAAAGCAATGCTGCATTGTATTGACAATTATGAAATTAATTTATTATAGAGAAATCTCATGGATTAGTATTCATTGCTCAACTAAGCTGTAAAGCAAGTTAGTTTATAGACCCTTGTATTTACTTAAAAATACATTTTCTCAAAGTAATTGTATAAATTTTGTTGTTTGGTGGTGGGGAGCTGCATTTTTATTTTACTTTTTTATTTTCATTTTTTTCAGATCAATTACATTTTGTTTTGAACCTGGTGGTTTTATATCTTCTTACCAAAATAATATTTCATTGTTAATTTAAAATTCATGTTAATATTGATGTATTATCTGAATTTTTAAATATTATTTGACTTGTCTTTATACAGTTCAACTGTTTGCTATAATAAAAAATGATTTGATATTGATATATTTTGATATTAAATTAATCTTGGTAAAGAAAAATAGTAATTAATGTGATTATCTTCGCCTTTTATTTGTGTAGTACTTTTTAAATTAGATTAAATTTGATATTTTATATTAGACTGAATTCTTAAGTACTAAGAATATTGATATATTGATTATTTTATGGTTGTTAAACATCTTCTTCACACATTATGCATGTTACATACAAAGTGATTTATTTTCTCAGGACATTAGACACAGAGATAGTCATTCATTAACATGTAACCTCCTCCACTAAACTAGGATTTATTCATACTGTATTTTGTATGTAACGAATGTAGTTTCTTTTTCTACAGCCATCACATTTTATTACTTTATGCACTTCTTTTTTTCTTCCGAGTAAGATTATATTGATTTTATTTGCCCATCCAAAAGTGAAAATTATTTCTTTACTTATTTTAATAATAATACTGGTACATGAATCCCATTAATTTTAGTCCAGTAGACCTAGATTTTTTCCAAATGCCTTTGAATACTAAAAAAAAAATGTCTTAGAGAGAGGCATATTTTTTGAATGATGATATTAACAGGTCAGTACACTTTTTATGTGGATATTATTTTCCTACATTCCACTTTAATCTTGTAGTTGGTTTGAAGTCACTATTTAGGCAGGTAGACCAGTCCCTATAATTAGCCTAGGACATTTGTTAAAATCCATGCCAAATTCAGCAAAAATAGAATTTTATACAAAATATCTACTCAATGATTGGATGTATACATTTTACTTATCAGTATTTTAATTTATGTTAATAACATCAACCAAAAACCAATAAAAAAAAATTAATAGGCATCACAACACCTGATTATGAATAATTGCCATTATGTTCAACATACAATCATGCAGTCTAGTAACAGTGAAGTCAAGCATACCTCCTATAATTTTTGTGAAATCTTAAGTTAGGTCAAAACTTTCAGTTGATAAATTGTAATTCATTCTTTTAATTAAATATATTTCAATCCATTGTATATCAAATGTTTGAGCCTCTCTTATTATGAAACTGTGGTAGAATTCCCTTGTAGGAAATCATGCAACTTTAAATTCATACTCTGGGATTGGGTCCCAAGTTGAAAAAAGCCACTTCAGTGAGTTATCACTTCTTATTGTATTTTGCTGAATGTAGTGATACCCATGACCTGGGATACAGTAATGCAAACTGGTTAAAACATTATACAGTATTGCCAGAGATTGGAAGTATTGTTTAGATACGCTTGCTAGCTGGTATGTGGGAGAAGACTGTTGGTTTCCTGTATTTACTCCCACAACTTATAAGAGACTTGGGAGCCCCCTATATACAGTAGTTGTCTGTTTTGAGTTATATACTATAATATGAATAATATAATTCAAAATTTAAATTGTTTACATTGTAAATTTATGTAAATTATCAGATTATTAGAATGTTTTTTCTGACCAATAAACATTATGCATTTATAAGATTCAACGCTTTGCTTAATTCGGTGGTCAATTTAAGGATTTTTGTAATTTAAATTTAAGTCATTTGAAGATGATGGCTTACTGTAACATGGCTCATTTAACAGTGGAGCCATTAGATATGTTTATTGAATTGTTGAGGTAGTACAAAATAAGAGTATTGTATTATCTGCTAATTAGTCTGTTCTTGTATTCTGTAGGTTTTGAGCGGAAGGAGTTCAGAGGAAAACTTGCTATTGGTATCACGGCAAACCTAATCAATCGACATACTAGTGAAGAAGCAAGAGTGGAAGAGATAAGTGGAGTAGCTTTCATCTTCAACCAAAAGTTCTTTAAGGATTTGAATCATGAAACGGGAATAGATTTGGAGAATATAGTTTATTACAAGGATGACACACACTACTTTGTCATGACTGCCAAGAAACAAAGTTTAATCAATAAAGGAGTAATAAAGAAAGTAAGTATATGTTTAATTAAATGGTATTTGAATTAAAATATTTATTGTAGATCAAGGGGCAAGACGGGTGCTTCAACCTACAGCCATAATATTGGCACTGGTTCAAGTGGTATGCTTGCCTATGGCTCTGGTGGTGGGACAAGTCATCTCAGATGAAGACTTTGCATCTTTTGAGTCTAGTAGGGAGTTACCCCAGTATATTGGTCCATATAGCACCTAAAGATGGCCTTTCCTTTAGAGGAATGATTGGTCTTGAGGATCGGAACCGAGAGCTTCACTTACATGAAATTTAGTAAATCAGTGTGGTGCATTATAGAATTTGTTAGCATTTTATTGGTAATAAAATTAAGTTTGTTACACTTCACTAATAGTCTTGGTTTCTGTTTAATTTCTGTGTAATTGTATATACTTAACCTTTATTGCAATCTCAACATTCTTAAAATTGGATAAATACAAAATTTGGCATTTGAAATACACCATTTAAAATGCTGTGTTTAAAATCAGATGTTAGAAATAAGAAAAACAAAATCTGAAATGTGCAGTCAAATTTTCCCACAAATTCACCTTAAAACTAAAAAAATTATTAGTTTCTCTCTTGCAAAATGCTCCTGAAAATGCAAAAACAAAAGCAAAATTTTTTCCGGGACACCTTTATTGTTGATCCGCCTTCTTCTATTGTACACAAAGTAAAATCTGTTACAGAAAGAGGTGACTTTCTGTCCAGTGCCATGATTTTGACAGTTTATGCCATAATTTGGGTGCTGCATTTGATTAAGCTGTTGATTGTTGTATACTATATTTCTCTTTGGTAGGATCGTGCTGATGTTGCAAGCCTTCTATCACAGTCAAATATCAATCAAGAAAAACTACAAATGTATGCATCTGAGGCCGCAGACTTTTCAACAAACCGCCAATTACCACATTTAGACTATGCACTTAACCATTATGGCCTGCCTGATGTGGCCATGTTTGATTTTACCTCTCTTTTTCAAGCTGTGAACGCCGCAAGAATTCATGAACGAAATGGTCACTATCTTTTGATGGGTCTTGTAGGAGATAGCTTGGTTGAGGTATGGTATCTTTTTTTAAATATTGTTTTAAATATATCAAATGTTTTTTAAGCAAATTTTGATGTAAGTTATTCATTGTTAAATTTTTCCTTTTTAAATAATTTTCAATTTGATATCAGTTTACAAATTGATATTCACATTATTCTTGACGTGCTGTTTGTGTTTAGTG